TCTGAGGTGGAGGGGGAAAGGAAAAGAGACATGATTGTTCTTTGGCAGCTTCAGTGTCAGGCAGAGGGCTGGGAAAAGCGAAGCACGGGAACGAGAACAAAGAATAAAGGAAAGCACTCCAGTGAAATATCACCGTCGCTTTCCCATCTTTGTGAAGAGCTGCTGAACGTTCCTGGGTTTTTGAGTTGAGGGGGGGCGTAGCTGTTAGTCTGAAACTTTAAAAACAAGTAGTCCTGCACATCTACATTGCACAGCTATTTCGGGATACCGGAGATATCCCAAAATAGCTACCCCGTGTCTTCACAAGCTGCTCATTATTTCGAAAAATATTTCAAAATAACCGGCGAACTATTTTGCCATCCCAGTAAACCTTGTTGCACAAGAGATAAGGGATGGCTCGAAATGGCACATTATTTCAAAATTTGGTGTAATGTAGATGTGCCAATTTTCAAAATAAGCTATTTCGAAATAGATTCGAAATAAGATACACAATTTGTGTAGAGCAAATTGCGTGTCTTATTTCGAGTTTAGGGCGCTGTGTAGGCGCACCCTTCGAGACTAACCAAAATATATAGGATCATGAGCTTTCATGGGCAAAACCCACTTCCAACTCATCGGAGGAAGTGGCTCGTACCTATGAAAGCTCATGGTAATATATATTTTGGTTAGCCTCTAAGGTGCCACAGGACTACTCGTTGTTGCTAGGGGGTGGGGACTGCCAAAGAGCTGGCTTGTTGTTTTCCTGTAACTGAAAAGGATGGTGCTAGCGAAGCCAGTGTGGGAAAAGCAACTACAGTTGGTTCTGTCAAGTGATACACCCCCTCCCAGAAGTGTGACGCAGAAATGGCTCTCGCGCTAACCTGATACTTGAGGGCTGGGCAGACGAGAGACAGGATGGTCTTGCAGATAAGGCACTGAAAAGAGTCCAATGAACAGCTCTACCGCAGGCTTCCTGCGTGATGGGAGGCAACTCATGCAGGGCCAGATTTGCAAATGCTCAGCCCCTACAACAATTACTCTGGATTCTCCATAATGCTCGTGCCCAGCATGGAGTCAATGGGCCGACTGGCTAACTGTTCAGTCACGTAAGAAAAAAGATCACCGTCTGCCCTGTCCTGTAAAGTGCTTTCCAAGGGAATCCGCTCTGTGCAGGCTGTAACCAAATACCAGCTGGAGAAGTCAGTATTGACTTTCCTCACACGAACATGGCTCCTTCACAGTGAGCTCGGAGCCCCGTGTTACGCACACCGAAACGCGCCTGCGTGAGTATGCTCTTGCACATCTCGCAACTTGTTTTCAAGCTCCTACAGTGTAGCTGAGCAAAGAAAGTACAGAACGAGGGTGACACACAAATCCTATTCATTCGCCCATGTATGCTAACCGAATCCGTTTGATGTCAAAACGTGCACCAACAATATGTGAAACCGCTCAGCGTGCTTTCGTGAAATGTGGGAAATGCTGATTCCTCAGGAGCAGTCTCACTTCAGAATAACCCTGGACCCGTGGACCTATCCCTCCCCCACCCAGGACCCTTACAGAAAAAATCAACAAATGGTCTGGTAGCACTTTATAGACTAACAAAACATGGAGATGGTATCATGAGCTTTCGTGGGCACAGCTGTGCCCAAGAAAGCTCATACCATCTGTATGTTTTGTTAGTCTATAAAGTGCTACCAGACCATTTGTTGTTTTTTTCCTTGTGGAGTTACTTATGTTGTGAAGAGTGTTGTTTCAGAACTTGTGGATCTGAGTTGGTAGCATTTTTTGCCCACTGTGTATTGGTGTAAATGAATCATTCTGTCAGTAGGGTGTTTTGAAAGCTCCAGATGCTAGTTTCATTTTCACCAGGCTTCTTCTAAAACAGAGCACCCGTGTGCCAAAAGTGCCCTGCGTATCTTAAAAAGAAAAGCCACATAATTAAGGCACTGGGCTTGGCATCAGAAGACTTGCGCTTTCTTTCCGTCGCTCACTGACCTCAGTGTGACTTTAGGCAAGTCTTTTCATTACTCCCCTGCCTGTTTTCTGTTTCACCCCTTGTCTGACTTGTCTGTTTGGACCAAGGCTCTCGAACTCACAGCCCGTGGGCCGTCTACGGCCAGAGCATATTTGCAATCCAGCCCAGGAGACCTGGCAGCCTGGGGGGAAAGTCTGAACCCATCACCTAAGTCCCACCCCTACCCGTCACCATCCCAACCAATCCCCTGCATGGCACCCAGTCCCCCCAGGGATACAGCCTCGGGGATTACGAGGGGGACCTAGTGCTGGGAAGTGATCAGGCTTCCCTGCACCCCCCACGGGCTGTGAGTTTGCAACCCCTGATTTAGACTGTAATTAGAGATAGAGGGGAAATTTTCAACTAAGTATTTTTTCATTGGAAAACACAGATTCCTCAAAACCAAAACTTCTCTCAAAAAAGGGTTGTTTTCAAATTAATTTCTTGTTTTGAAAAACCTTTGAAAAAAGAATTTTCCAAATTTTCCCATGGGCTCCCTTTTTGACATTTCTTAAGTAAAAAGTTCCATTTTTTTGGCTCCAAACAACTTTTTCTTTAGACATTTTTTTAAGATCATTTAAATGCAACAAGCATTTAAGCAAATAAAAAAGCTCCTAATCAAGATGAAACATTTTCTGTTGACCCAGTTCAATTTTGCCCATCCCTCCTTCCCATTTCTGGTTCATTCAGCTGGTTTCATTTTTGGTCATGATTCAGTGAATTTCTCATCTAATTTTTCTGGGATGGGGAAAGGAGGAGAGAAGTCTCCTTTTGGGTGCGTCTATACTGCACCATGGGTCGAAGTAAGATACTCAATTTGAGCTATGCAGATTTTGTATCTTCTTTTGATGTGACTTCAAAATCGCTTAGTTTGAAATTTGGTGCTGTCTGCACATTACTTATTTCAAAATAAATCACTATTCCAAAATGTCCCTTACTCCTTGTGCAATGAGGTTTACAGGGACGTCGGAATAGTGAGCCTGTTATATTTCGAAATAACGGGCTCGCTCAAAAGACACAGAGTAGCTGTTTAGGGATACCTCCAGTATCCCGAAATAGCACTGGTGTGTAGACGTAGACTTTCTGACCAGGTCCAGTGTAAACACTGGAGCATTTGCTGTGGAGAATAATCCTGCGCCCAGAGCCGCACTAAGCGGTGGGCTAGCTGGGCAGCTGCCCAGGGCGCCAACCTACGGGGGGGGCGCTCGGCTCCCGGTGGGCTGCAGTGGCCGCCCAGGGCGGGAGCCGTGTTAATCCGTGCAGCACCGGCCAGCAGCGCCCTTCCCCCGCGGCCGCAGGGCCCTGCACAGCCAGGCGCAGCCCAACCCAGGCAGCATATACGCATGTGTCCGCCCATGCACCCCGGGGGGGACCCGTGCATGCACCGTGCGCCCGGAGGCGGGGCTGCGAGCCTGGGCCGCAGGGCACCAAAATGGCTCGGGCCAACCCTGCCTGCTCCGTACTAGAGGTGATCCATAGTTCAGTGCCTTCTTAAAGTGACAGGGTGATTGCTTTTGTCAGCCTGATACAAACTGGCCGTTTTCCTGTCTGCTGGGCCTTCCTTTCCAGACCTACCGTAACCATCACATCTTGGCTCTGCTCCAGACTCTGGTGACGGGTGGGACAAGCCCGGAATTGGAGGAACAGCTGGCAGAGAAGAATATGCTGAGTGGCAATTTCAACAACATAGGCTTCGTGGCACCCAGAGGAAGGTGCAAACTCGGCCTTCTGCCCCTGTCCAACAGACTGTTAATGGACTCCCAGGTGAGTTATTGCCGGATCTTGGGAGTGGAGCCCTCTGTGGGCTTGGCCATGACTTCACGCTCGTGTCGGTTTGAAGTAACTCCCCGCAAGTCAATGGAAACCCAGTACTGAGTTGGGTCCCAGATTACTGTTCAGTGCAGCAGTGTAAACAGATTAAACTGGTGTGTGTGTGGAAGGGGAGGGGTTGTTGGTCTCTAAGGTACCACAGGACTACGTCCATGGTGCTGCCGTGAGGGCAGGGGACTGGACTCGATGACCTCTCGAGGTCCCTTCCAGTCCTAGTGTTCTACTCGTTCTTTTTTAGATTAAACCATGTATGTGGCTTGTTATAGAATCACAAGGTGGGCTGAGTCCAACCCCCTGCCCAAGGCAGGACCAACCCCAACTCAATCATCCCAGCCAGGGCTTTGTCAAGCCGGGACTTAAACACCTCTAGGGATGGAGATTTAACTCCCTCCCCAGAGAACCCATTCCTTGTCCTATATCTCAGTGTTTTAAGGGGTAAATATTCCATGAGCTCACACTGAAAAGCGAGTTGGTCAACAAGTGCAGTCAATAAATACCTCCTCCCTTATCCAACCTCATCACCTACTGCAGTCTGACGCCAGCTCCCATTACTGCTTGGCAACAGGTGGTCGGATCCTCAGCTGGCTGTCAACTGTCCAGTTCACATCAGCCAAAGACCTGCTCCAGAACCACTAAGATGCAAGGGCTCTTGGTCTGGACCACGCCTGCGCAACGGAATAAATCGCTCTGCTTCTTCAGCCTTTTGTATTAAGTCATGTGCACACAAGTGCAAAGTGTCCTGAGGGTTACACAGCCACGCAATGAAACAAGCACCATTTCCACTCCTGTGACACAACGTTGCTAACCCAAGAAATAGCTCAGGCTCACAGTGAGGTGGGATCAAGACTCAAATTCAGATGCTCATGGGACTGCCCTAATAGAGCACATCATAGAACGCTAGAACTGGAGGGGGACCACGAGAGGTCGTCAAGTCCCATCCCTCGGTAGGACCAAGCACCATCTAGATCATCCCTGACAGGTGTTTGTCCAACTTGCTTTTAAGTATCCCCCATGATGGAGATTCCACACCCTCACGAGGCGGATCGCCGTTCGCAGCCCATAGGAGCAGTGGGACGTGGTGTCCTGCTTTGTACTACTTCCCGCCACTCCCATTAGCTGCGACTGGCAATCTGAGGCCAACCAGAGCTGCGATGGCCCCGATACTTGCAGAGGTGCAGCTAAACATAGCGGCGGGCCGCCAGGGATTAACGCTGAAGGGCCAGCACTTTCTTACTGCCTGCCTCTGCTCTACTGGCTGGTTCTGAAACTCAACCTTTTCCTTGGAGACAGAAGATGAGGTGGCATATGTAAAATTCAAGTTAATTAAATCTGATCTGAATATATGGCCAAGGGTTTTCAATATCCCCACTTAGTATCCTCACTTAATATACTGGGAGGCTACGTCTACGCTGGCATGATTTTCCGGAAATGCTTTTAACGGAAAAGTTTTCCGTTAAAAGCATTTTCGGAACAGAGCATCTAGATTGGCACGGACGCTTTTCCGCAAAAGCACTTTTTGCGGAAAAGTGTCCGTGCCAATCTAGACGCGCTTTTCCGCAAAAAAGCCCCGATCGCCATTTTCGCAATCGGGGTTTTTTGCAGAAAACAAATCTCAGCTGTCTACACTGGCCCTTTTGCGCAAAAGTTTTGCACAAAGGGACTTTTGCCTGAATGGGAGCAGCATAGTATTTCCGCAAGAAGCACTGATTTCTTACAGTAGAAAGTCAGTGCTTTTGAGGAAATTCAAGCGGCCAGTGTAGGCAGCTGATTTTCCGGAAAAACTGGCCAGTCTAGACACGGCCAGAGTGTAAACTCTATGGGGCAAGCTCCTTTTTTAGTCTGTGCTTCTACAGCACCGAGCACTGTAGGTTTCTGGTCCCTGACTGTGGTTCCTCGATACTACAGAAATGCCAATAATAAATTCCACTTATCAACTGTTCTCACCAGAGAGCTGAACAACCCTTCCAGCTGAGCGCACTTTTTTTGTTCTCTCATTGCAGGATACCTTTGGAGCCATTTACTGCAAAGCACTAGATTGGTTTGGAATCCTTTGCTTTGGTCTTCACCGTCTGGAAGAAGAGCCCAATCCATACAAGAATAGGGGAGTGTTCTTCCTTTGAAATTTTGAGATCTCTGTACCTCAATTTGAGCCGAGCAAGAAAGGTCTCCAGAAAGATCAGTTTAATCAATCATGATCATAATGCAGCAATTATTGTAGAGCCGGGCAAGGAGAGACAATCGATTTTTGGGAGTGCTCATGGAAACGAAGGAGTGACAGTATTCTCTAACGACATGCTCTAACAAAACACCTCAGTCTGGACTTGCAGCTCTGATGAGAACCTTCACCTTCAACTAGAGAAGCCCCATCTGTTCCAGTGTTGTATCTCTATGATAATCTAGTCTTGGGTCGCTCCCCAGGTTTGAGTGAAGCTACACACCCTTGTTATGTCTCTGGGTATCCCCTGAACAGAGACCATTAGATAAAGCTAGCTCTGTGGTTGTTACGGGGCCTACCTAGAGGCCACCATGAGAGATCATAATGCTTGTGACTACTTGCTGCAGTGGGGCAGTTCAAGCTCATAGATCGCATCAATTTTACACTCTGAACAGAGCACAATAATACTCTAATCTGATCTCCAGTAGAAACAAGGCCAGAGAATCGCACTCATTGATTCCTGCAAGGAGCCAAGAATGCTGGTGTAACTAGAGCAATTCTCTTAGAAAGACATCCACTGTAACTTACCCCATCCCTTGGTAATCTCTTCCCATGATCCATTAACTTCACTGTTAGAATAATGTCTCTTGTCCCTAGTTATAAGGAAGGATAGAAGTAGGCCTCTCCGGATGGTACAGTAATTATTCACAAGGACATTTCAGATGCAATTAGACATTGCAAAAAGCTGATGTACTCTATCTCCCCGAAGCATTGCTTAGCAAAGGTGGAAGGAGTTTACAGAGCTGTTGGATTCTCATGTTCTGGTGCTTTTCCAGGTGTGTGATTGCTCGGCCCCCCAGTGACTTCAAGATGCTACCTACGGATCTGCTGTTTTGTGTTGTCCCGTTCAGCACCACAGCAACGATGGATCTGTCCATTTGTGAGGAGGAACTTGCACACCACGGTGGCAGGAGAGCCACACCAACAGCTCCAGAGAGCAGCAAGAACCTAGCCTGTGATGTATTCCCTGGAAATAAAATATAATGTAGTGATTGATTATTAAGACCGCACAGTGAGGTTTCTTGGTCATTGGAACAGGCAGTTTGAAAGGCGTAAACATGGATGTGTGCATCTGTGTGGCTTTTTCCGTAGCACTCACATTAACCTTTGACCCATGACTTGAGTTCCGATGATCAAGTCAATAATCATTCATGTCTTAGCAAGCGCCTGAACTCTTTCTACAGGAAAACCGATGAAACTCAACTTCTTATGCAAAGCAGGAGTAATCAAAGAAATTTCATGATTATTTGAATCGGCTCTGCAGCTTGATCCTGGTAGTAGTAATAGTTAGAATGAGGCCACATTAGACCTCATATCAGTTTGCATACATGACTTACCTTCAGTTAGAAGATTTAGCAATAAGTCTCTTGTTAGCATGCAAAGGCTGTATTTAGCCAGATTTCCTTTGAGGGACTGAAGAATCTTCTATCTATGCAAACCCTTACAACCATGCTCAGAATGCCCCAAATAAAATGCCCAGTATAGACAAGAGGTCAAGTCTTAATCAAATATGGTCTCAGAAGTAGGTGGGTATAAGGCTTGGCTAGGCAGTAAAATAGTGGTGGCTCTCATGAGCTTTTGTGGGCACGACGCACTTCTTCAGATTGGTCTCTCTTCCACGCCGTCTTCCCCTCTAA